TAAAAATCATTGTCCATTTCAGCATTTTCATGATGGTTTCCATGTCATTTAGCATGGAGAAGTAGATTCTGACTATAGAAAATGTGTGTTTTGATAGGCAAAGGTCTTGAGGATCACCCATATTTGTGCTGGTATTGATGCCTGATGGCTGATGGTATCATGGGAGTATCATGTATTTATTGCTAAGCTAATACCTATCATGCCTATGCTCAAACAGGTGTTTTTACCCCACAAATCTGCCACCCCTAGTTAGGTGATCTTGATCCCTTCAGCCTGCTGTCTGTTGCAGCCCCAATGCCAGGCTGGTGTGGTGGGCAGCAGATTTGCTGTACCAAAACATACACAGTTCCTTACAATCCTCTACATTGTCCTAGATGCCTTTGAATGAAATTAGGTAGGCATGTGTTGCTGTAGCTGAGGTCTGATTGGTTTTTCAAGCATGAATATTATTAGTGTCCATGCTTAACATGTTGTTAATCCAAAAATTATGCTAATTTGATAGTTTTCATTGCTGAAAACATGACCAAAGCTGCACACATTGTTATTTATTTATGCCCTTGTGTATCAAATGATGTGGAGTGGCTTTCTCTTTTTCGAATTACAGTCGCCACTTTGAAGCCATGGTGAAGGAACTGGGAACATACATATGTTTTTGCTGAGCTACATAGGTTCATTAGATCTCAGACATGCATGGATCCGTATGATGGATCTACGATCTCACTGGATATTGAAGCAAACTGCAGGTTAGGATCAATGATCCCACTGGATCTGGCATAAAAAATTAATCTGGATCTATGATATAGGATCTGACGATAAACCAGGAACATTGATATATGATCTGAGTAGATCCCACCAATCACCATGCATAACATTTAAAACCAGGTTTCCAAGTGTTTCTATGTCAATAAGTGCCACAAAACTATGGATTATAACGAGCAACTACACAATATCACTAAAACAGAGCGTTTGATTTGCAGCAAGTATTGTTTTATGTTTTTTTTTGTGTTGACAAAAAAGTGAGGATCTATGATCTCACTGGATCTTAAGCAGAAAAATTAGACTCGGATCTATGATCCCTATGGATCTCTCGATAAATTAAAAAACTGGATCTAGGATCCCATCGGATCCGAAATCGGGGTCCGTGGGATCAGATCCCAGATCAATTTTCTCGGATCCATGCACATGTCTGCTAGGTCTAGTTATTGTATATGTGATGAACTTATCTCAGGTAGGTGCTTATGGTTTATGAAAGTAAGAGCCCCCCCCCCCCTAAAAAAAAACATCAAAGGATCTCAGATCGCACTGTTTCCCTACGATAAGATCGCTTGCAGTGTCCGAGGTTCACAGTAGCTTTGGGGTCCCATCGTGGTCTTAGCTGACATCACACCGATCGTGGGCTCAGGAGGTCTCGGAACTCGGAGGGGGGGGGGGGGGTCATATGGACCCTGAATCCCACGGCCACTACCACAACATAATCTGCTCTTTTCATCCCTAGTCGGACTCGTGCGCGACCAAATATTGTCATTCTTATTCAGGATTGAATTTAGCGTCTCACCGAACACAACTGGAAGGAAACAAACGTATAATCTTGTGACAAGCAAAATGATAGCATGCCTTTAGCCAAGCAATGTCGACACTCAGATCCCGGATGGGCAAGTGGGCAAAATTTCGGCGACTCTGACTCTGACACCAGCCCGACTCTGACTTCGACTCTGTAGCCCTGTTTATGACAATGACTTTTGTGACTTACGGACCATCTGTTATTCTGTTCTCTATTGTAAACCATTGAAGTTTCTGAGTTTCGTGTGATTAGTGCTCTTAAAAGCACCACTGCCATTACCGTCGGCCAATGACCTTGGCTATGACCGTCCGAACTCTCAGCAAACGCACACGTAAACAAACGGAGCACAAAGGACCGGCCCGGCCATATAATTATTGCGTCATCGCCCGACCCAGCCGAAATTCCGGCCTTGGATGACCTTGAACTTGAACGGCAGAGGGTTCGTCCGGAGCGGGTGGAAAGCCCCGGCTCTGCTGCTCGTGCCGCCGGCCACAGGGGTGCAGGGACGGCCGGCGACCCCGCACACAGAGGAAAGAGACCGGGGCTCTGGGGAATGACGTCGGAGAAACGGCATGTAATTGCCTTCGCAGGGACAAATGACTGCTACTTGGAACTGACCGCAGGGGAGTGGAAGGTCAGAAGGGCTGGAGTGGGAAACTCGTCTTAGGCAGTTCGAGTTGTGGGGCTTTGCAGCGCCAAGGCCGAAAAGGGATATCGCTTCTCATTGAATGACATTTTCTGTAGGTAATGGCTGTTGAAAGGTCGCTAAATTTGTCTTTTTGTCGTGTAGTATTTGTAGCTTAATATTTTGGCACCCGCTTTTGCTTCTTTTTTGACATCTTGCATCGTTTGTTTTCGTAGTACAGTCGCAGTTTGTTGCTCTCTCTCTCTCTCTCTCTCTCTCTCTCTCTCTCTCTCTCTCTCTCTCTCTCTCTCTCTCTCTCTCTCTCTCTCTCTCTCTCTCTCTCTCTCTCTCGCCGTCTCATCGTTTTCTTCACCGCTATGAAAATCAAATGCCTCACAACGCTGATCACAGCGTAATTTCCGCTTTTCCGTCGATGCATTGATATTTCTAACACGAACCACTGGCTGCACTACAAGTTCAATATGCAATATGCACTTCAACCCTAGCCTCCCATCCGGATTTCGATCTCATGTCCAGCACTGAATGCGGATGCAGTCTGCTGTCGGCTGTGTTGCCGTTATTTGAGGGATCAGACATCGGTAGACGTTCGATCAGATCACATGCGCCGTTATGCGGCATTGACACTTGGGGTATAGTGACTCATCGCTGGGTGATCCTGTGGGATTTGACAGGTTTCAGCCAGGTGTGGAACTTCCTATGCAGGTGGTGGGCACTGGGCAGCCGCCCCACCAACTTGCTATTTTCCCCCACGTTTTGCCCCACCAATTTTAGCTCATTTGTAAGACTTTGTTGCTTTGCAAATCAATCTTTTTCTCGCATTGAAGACTGAGGAGGTTTCAAATGTCTGTGTACTCGTAATGCCAAATATTATTCTGTAAGGATAGGAGTTAGTTCAATGTTAGATTTTATTCACCTTGACAATTAGACATTATAGGTTTGACGACTTTTTGCCCCACCAACCTCCCCCGAAAAGCGCCACACCCATTTTCGGTCAGTATCAGATGTGTAGCACAGACAGTTTGGATATGCTAGTTAAGGTCTTAAGCTACAATTTTCTTTCAAATTATCCTTCAACGACCAGCCATCTTTTTCTGGCTGGAATGACTTTCTAGGTGGATGCAGACATGCTGCATTATCATACCTTTGCATATCTCCTAAGCAGGGCTGCGGAGTCGGAGTCGGAGTCGGAGTCGGTCGGAGTCGACAGTTGTGACCGGAGTCGGAGTCGGAGTCGATTTTAGAAACCCGAGCCGGAGTCGGAGTCGGAGTCACCGAAAATCTGTCGACTCCGCCGCCCTGCTAGGTCTGCGGAGTCGGAGTCGGGAGTTGGAGTCGGTCGGAGTCGACAATTCTGCCCGGAGTCGGAGTCGGAGTCGGAGTCGGAGCTGGTTTTTGAAAGCCGGAGTCGGAGTCGGAGTCGCCGAAAATCCATCGACTCCGCAGCCCTGCTCCTAAGTAATTGTTAGATCCAAGTCGGCGGACTGAAAAATGTTGTCTGCTATGATCACCCAACAGAGCGGACCGGTGTGCGGGACGGTATGTGACAGCCTTCAGCGAACGTAGGACTGCGCGCCTTCTGAGGAACCAGTCATGACGCAGGTCTGGCCTAAGTGTTCGGGTGAAATATCGATTCGGAACTATGCTGGCCGCTCCGAGTGCACCGGCTCGGTGGTATGCTCGGAGGAGTGCTGCTCTGCCGCCTTTGTCTTTCGCTGGCACCGCAGTCTCAGTCTGTAGCTTACAGCCTGTGCCGGCGGCGCTGTCACACCTGGTGATGACTCAGTCGACCAGTCAGACTTCCGCGTGTCGGGGTCTCCGCTGCACTCCCCAGTCGCTCCCACTCCCCCTGGCACTGCCGCTTCCCCAGTCTCCCTCCCCCCGCTGCTCTCAGCCGGTTGAGGAACCGGTAGGCTCGCCACAGGCACTGGTCGTCAGGGCTGACTGACCAGTAATGCTAGGGGGTCCGTCATTTGACTTATTGTAATCGGCTAGAAATATTGAGACTTAAGTGCATGAGGTACATACGTTTTTAAATCATATGATAGGGAAGTCGTTTTTAGAGTTGAACCCTGAGGTCAATGGCAAGCATGTGTTGATGTCATGTAGAATGCAGTCACGATTACCTAGTACCTATTTAATGGACTTTTTTCTTGTGAGAGCAATGTAATTTATTCCAGCGTACCGGATTCGCCGACTTATATTTCGACCATTTATTTATAACGACTTTTATGGGGGGGGGGGGGGCTTGTGTTCTGTCATCAATGTATTCCTGCTCACGTGGCACTCATGTGGCCGACGTCATAAAATTCACAATCTACCGTTTTTATGAAAGATATCAGTCGTCGCACACGCACTCGTCGCTTAGCGGAAACTACCGCGATTGCGCTACGGGACCCGAACATGTTCTCAGAAATATCAAAATCACCTATGACGTCAGCACAGTGTGTGTGTGTGTGTGTGGGGGGGGGGTATTTGAGGAGGAGGGAGCGAACAAGGCGGTCGTCCGGCGCCGCCAGCTGCCTCCCGACCGGACGTCTTGTCTCCGCGGGCTCGCCGTCTCCGGCCGTCCGGAGGTCTGATACGGTCGGTTTATTGCCGACTGGTATCGGCGCCACATCCCGGGGCGGTGTCTGGTCTGCCCCGCGCTGTGACTGTCTCCTCGGCTCCCGGGCGGTTATTGCCCCGGCTATCGCCCGCCGGATTGCGCGGGGAGGGGCGGCGGGTTGGTCGGCCGGCCGCCCTGCCGCGTCCTTCCCTGAGGCCGTACCTGTCGGCGGCACCTCTGAGAACAGCGCCACCCGGCCGGGCCGGCAGCCTGCAGAGGCCGGCGCCGCGCAGATAGTGGCCGAACCGCCCCCGAGGAGGACCTCCCCGCAGCTCCCCGATCCGGTGAGGTGGGCTCGGGTCCGGACCGAGCGCGGGTTGCGGGTTGGGACCGGCACTGTGCTGGGAACGGGGCCGTGGTGTTTTCAAGGTGTTGCTGTTGCTGATATCCGGACATGGCTATTGCTTTTCTAAATTTGGTCCGGATTTTGATAGCATTCATCCGCGGGCTGTGGCCTAAGCTGAAAAAAATTATCTTGCTACGGGTTTCGTTGCTCGGTAAATCTGTGGGTCGTTGGTTCTTATTTTTGTTTTAACCTCGTGCAATGTTCCCATGGGAGATGTTTTAGTACGAGTATATTTTCTACAGATAGGTTCGCTTTGACTCTTCATATTTGCGGCTACGCAGCACCGATGACCTGAGGTCATGATACCTGATGTGGGGGACGATCTCTGCGACTCTTCATACCGTTCAAGCCCATTCGGTCTTCAATCTGTGTTACCATTTTTCTGGAACTTGAAATGAGAGATAAATTTATGTTGACTTTGGTTTCCGTTTGACGAGCCCCCTTCAGCTCTCCGCTATTTTTTACGTTTCCTCTGTCGCTGTCTTTTTCATCGCTACATGATCAGAACAACGTTTAAAAATCTGCATTCTTTGATGAATGCCAACCTTATAAACAACTAGTGGATCAAATGTTTCAAGCAGTAATTGCACCTACCTTGTTTATGCGATAAGTTTTATATTCTGTAATAAAACCTTATGTGCAAATGTTTTCCTTGCAGCTCCAACAAAACAAGATAACCCAGCTTGCACGGATTATAAAGTCAATCCCGAATGAGATAAACTGTAACTTGCACAAACGGCTCAGTGACTAGAGCTCAGGGGGCTCTGTCCTTGTGAACCCCTCCATTGAAAAGGTTGGGACTAAATTACAAAAGAGGTAACCGGTTTTCGTTTTGACCCTCCGATCCGGGTCCTTTTCATCCTCATTTTGGCAAACACGTTGCAATGGGTTCTAAACAAAAGTTTATTTGTTTATTTATTTGTTTATTTCACAACATCGCCAACAGGCAGTACCCATTGAGAGGCGAAGTCAAAAACATACGAATACATCGAAAGAAAGAATAGATAAGAGTCTACTAGCTTTGCATGCTACATGCCTACACAATAAAAGCATATAGTAAAAATAAATATGGTGAAAATACACCTGCTATAAAAATATACCTAATATAAATATGACTAATCAATAAAAGTATACACTAAGAACAAGACGCACTGTGATAAAAGTATACAGCATGAAGTATGATGGATAAAACACTATGTCAATGGCATCGCTCTCACATACTTCCTGACATGACCTTTGAACATACAAAGGCTCATGTCAAAAACATCGGCTTTAGGAACATCGCGCAGGAAGCTGTTCATCATCTCAGGAAGCCGGTTAAAAATTCCCGTCTTCACAGCGTTCACACGGGCATACGAAGTCTCAAAGAGCGAAAGTCGGCGTGTGGTGCGTCTGGGTACATGAAGTGAAAAACAGCTGAGGAGGTATGGCGTATCCACCTGACCGCGACAAACATTTCGTAAAAACATGATATCGTATTGCATGCGCCTGGCTTTCAAAGTGGGCATCTCAAAGACCTGCAGCAGGTGTTCATAGGACAGCGAGCTAAACACAATGTTGTTTGATTACGACGCCATCCACATAAGAAATTTGTGCTGTACTCGCTCCAGCCTCTCCACATGTGACTTTGCCGCGCCGCCCCAAATGACGCACCCGTACTCCAAGATGGACCGAATGTTCGCAAAGTACGTAGCCTGCAAGGTTTTCATGCAGAATTTTTTATTCGGGAGGCCAGTCTGAAAAGATCTAATCAAAACGCCGAGAGCTCTGTTTGCTTTTGAAACTATGTGGTTGATGTGGGCCGAGAATGTTAATTTTGAATCCAGCATTACGCCTAAATCACGTACTTCGGAAACGCGCTGCAAAACCGATCCATCAATAACGTACGAGTGCATCACGGGTGACGACCTCAAGCTCAGTGTGAAAGCGAAGCACTTTGACGGGTTGAGGTGCAGCTTCCAGTCTGCCGACCATCTGCTGAGATTATCAATGTCAGACTGGAGCTGCTCACAATCAGACATTGACCTAACCCGGTGATACAACTTAACGTCGTCCGCAAACATGATGCAATGAGATGAGTGCACAGCCATGGGCAAATCGTTGATAAAACAAAATTAAACAAAAACAAAATTAACAAAATTAGACACTCAGTTAAGCCGCTAACTAAATAACGAATCAAGATAAAAAACGTTTTTTTTTTTGCATTCGCTCTTTTTCGTCGTCAACTCTTCTGTGGGTTACCGAGCTGGGCGCTCCCGCTGACGGTGTGCACGCTACCGCCGGGCCCGGCTTTGGACGACACTGACCGGTCCAACGACTCGTGTCGCCGCGGCGGCTGATCCCCCGGCCATTGAACGCTGATTGGGGCCTCCATCGACTGACAGTGCCACATGCAGCGGCGCTCCCTGACAGCTGACCTGATCCCGTGTGGCGGCCATGACCAGTAAAACAAGGCGATAGGTCGGGCTGTGGCAGGCTCGGATACGGAAGGGAGAGCGTGGTTGAGAGGTGTGTGTTTCGGCTTTATCCGGATTCTGTTCTGGTATGGGCTGGTTCCACGAACCCTCACTGAGTGGTGTTTGCTGACTGATTCTGGACTGCTCACGAGTTGATTACTTGTAGGAATCTCTTAATTACTGGTTGTACTGTATGCTCCGGTCCCTGATTGCTTCGGGAAAGGGTTGATTGTAGTTGCCTCGTAGTGCCTAGGAGTGAAAGTTGATATGCGCGGAAAGGATAATAAATGATTTACTTCCCAGCAGTCTACATTCTCTGTCGAACTAGTTATTTTCAGGGGGCAACAGTCGGCATAATATTAATCACGGAAGAGGACTTTCATTACATGACACCAGAACTTCCTTGTATTCATGATAACTAACTACAGGGTGTCTCAAAAGTTCGCTTACAGGTACCAGCCATGCTTTTTTGTCAATAATTCTGAATCAACATGAAATTAACAGTCGAAATTTTGCATGGGCATTGGTAACAACCTTCCTCAAGCAGCTTCATTGTTTTCAAGCGCATTCGACCCTTCATGAGCTCACAAAAAGGGTTCACCTCTGACCATGGATCAGGCATGAAAATGGAGGTCGCATACTCGGGTCGGCTGAGAAACTCTCTGCTTCACGAGTAATGGGAATGGTTAGGTCGGAAATGACACATGGCAAAGTGTCGGCGAGGATGAGTACAACATGATGGTCATCTAATAAAAACGGTGGCTAAAATTTTTGAAGGACAAAACCATGCGAGACTAAGTGCGCTTTGAACGACCCTTGTACCGCAGCAGACTCGTGCTCCGGAAAGCAGCTGAAAATGCAGTCCTAACTATTGAAAACTGACTAGAAGCTCACAGACAGAGGTTACCCAGTTTCAAAAATTGCAGGTCATCATAAAATAAAGACAAAATATCATTTAAAATTGTTTATAATATCTATAACGCTAAATTTTGAGGGAAAATAATGCGAAAATCGTCAATGCCGAGGACAAGTGACCCTCCAAAAGTGTCAAGTAATGTAAAGTTTTATCTAACGAAGTTTCAAGAGGCAGATCTGGAGCAAATAGCTTTCTTTTACACACAAAATCCGGACAAAACCGCACGATGGACAGGTTTTGGCCGTTTACAAAGCAGAACCTCTCCTGAGGAAAACACTCCGGAACCCAGCGAAGGTCTTGGCATTGGGAATGACGAGCGTTCGGGATTTGCAACTTTTGCAAAATGTGTCTAAGAAACAGATGGCCGACACATTCTGCTACGATATGCTGCGAAAAATTTGCCCCTGGCACTTCCCATTTGTTCAGGAATGGGGCTGTTTTGAAAAGGAAAATGGTGCTTGGGAGGTCGGCGCCAGTCATTCATGAAGGAGTTAGCGCCAGAGAAGACCTACAAAATACTCACGGATGGTGTCGATGCAAGCTATCGGCTTTCAGGGAGAAGCGGATGTTGCCGGGGAGCTCGTCAAACCTAAATCCGACGCAGAAACTGCGGGGGATTCCCCTACAAGAGCTTGAAAGCTGGTAACCTTTTATCAGCCTCCGGCAGCTGACGGAGTGACGAAAATCGGTATGGGCAAATATTTTTGGAGATACAGCAAAGGGTTTGGTTTCCAACCTTCCGAATCAGTTGTCAAAGCATGCATATTTGTCTAGTGTACACACGGACACCAAAACCTTAGATTTTTGGCCGGTTCTTATATGCTTTATTGACATGGGAAATGTGTAAGCGAACTTTTGAGACACCCTGTATATCTCTCCTTCCCTTTGATCACATAATGCTAACCGCGCGTCTCTCCGTACATAGATGATACGTGGTGATGACGATAAAACACCATTCTGACCATTGCCTCTGCCTCCGCCCGCAACTATCACCATTCTGACTGGTGCATCTGGTCCCGTCCACATCTCACACCATTCTGACCATAACCTCCGCCCACAGCTATCACCATTCTGACCGTCGTCTCGTCTCTGTCTCTTCCCACAGCTGACGCCATGGTGACCCGCGTGGGGTGCATAGGGGCCGGCTACGTTGGCGGTCCGACGTGCGCCGTCATCGCCCTCAAATGTCCCGACATTCGCGTCACTGTATGTGACATGAACCCGACACGCATTGGCCAGTGGAACTCGGATAAACTGCCAGTCTTTGAGGTCAGTGGGAGAATGTGTGTGAAGCGAGTGTGATATTGTGTTTTAGGTTGAGGTATGTCCGTGTTTTACACGAGATTATGGTACTGTGTATGAATTGTGGGTGTGAGGCGAGTCTGATCTCGTGTTTGTGTTAATTCGTTTTAGGTGAGTGTGTTCCGTTTCTATGTCAGTGCGTGCCTGTGTTCGATGTGCGTGCGTGGCGCGTGCGTATCCATGGTCGCCGGCCGCGGCGATTGGAGCTGAGCTGCTGACGTCACGACGACCTCTGACGTCACACCGGTGTAGCGCAGTGGTATGGGTCTCCATAGTGACGTTTAGTTTAAGAGATTGGAGTCGGCGGGGCTTTCGAGCCTGTCACAAAGATAAGGCGCCGACTGGCGTATATACGGAAGATATTACTTTTCACGAGAATGAGAATGCGAGTGGTGTTATCTTGATGTTCTAGAAGTTACGTCATTATAGACGTCATAGGCTTACTCTATCAGAGAAGGCACCGATGCTGAAGAATATTGCAGAGTGTTTTGAGAATTATTCATATTACCTCTTTTTCTGATATTTTTTGTCATGCCTCTATGTAATAAGCTTGTGTGTGGCGCAGTTGTGGCGCAGTTATTCAGAACGCATACCCGGAGCGTCCAGTAGACCTATTACCTTTGGCAAGATGTGATGCGTTTTGGTCTCCCGGTATTACACAAGACCAATGTGTCTTTCTGTGTAAAAGCCTGTAATAAGTCAGGGTGTGTGTGTGTTTGTCAATATCAGTGAGTTCCGCCAGAGGCACTGTGTAATAAGGCCGCTTCATATGGAGAAACACAGCATCCAACATTCTGGATGGTAATCGCACTTACACAACTGGCTGAGAGGAAAAAACGAACACTCGTTAACGCGAATTTTTATCATCTATTGTTTTACACACAAAGCTGTGTGACATATGATCAGTAACTCATCACTTTTCGCAGTTTTCATAACTGTTCACTTCGTTTTTTTTTTTTTTTAATGCCCCGGAGTTGCCATTTTTGCATCTCGCTGACGACCAGAGGTATAGTGTTGGGCGGATATTGTTAATGCAGTGGCTCGCTTCTCGCTCTCGACTGCCACTTGAGCTACCAGTAATGTCCCACAGGTCACACTTTTAAAAAGGCAGCCACCTTTCCCTCGCCATTCGATACGTGCAATCCTCCTTAAGTGCAGTCCGTGGCCAGTCGTTTGCCATTTTCTTTGGGCATTTAAACAATTACATTTCATGCATATCCATCAATTGATTAATACGTCTCTCTCTCTACGGGTACATGCATTGAAGGAGAACTCACCTTACATTTCACATTCAAATAAAAAGAAAAAAGTTTGCTGTCATAATTTTCCACCTTACCCTGGTACCAAATGGCAATATCTTTACCTTTTACTGCGAACCAAGGCTCATGCGTAGGTTCCTCTATTCATTCTTTTGAGTTATTTCCTTTGCATTCAAGAAGCCAATACAATGGATACAGAACATATATTTCTTATTTAGATCTGGCGTACCAAAGGTAGCACTGAACCATATCCTATATTCGTAATGTCTTCTCTGTAGAATGGACAGAGCTTCCTTTGCGACTGTGCCAGGTAATCACTGGGTTATCGTAGCTGGGCGATTCAAGCAACAATCATAGGAGCGGTCGGCCATAATTCATAGTTACCCCCCCCCCCCCCCCCCTCCAAGGTGACCACATTGACCCGGGTAGGTCCACAGAGGGAGGGAATTGTCCGTTGGAACGGGCAGGGCAGCCAACCTGCTAATGATGTTTACGCGTAAATTCAGCAGCTGCATTATCCTGCTTTTAGACATCCTCCTGTTTTTTTTTTTGTGCTCGTCCGGCTTTGTGCACCTCTTTGCTGATCACTGATCATTGGTAGTCGTAAATAGCCATATCGCTACAAATTACATGTATGTAATATTACATGTACCTAAATTATATACTAGTGCGGTCTGACATTGTTTTTTAGTGGTGCTTTTTAGGCAGCGAAAGTATATTGCGCATTCTGCAGTGCTGTTTAGTGCACAGACACAGTCTGTGCGCTGTTTAGTGTCGACAATTGTTTTTGTACATTCTGAAGATGGCGCAAGCTGAAATGTATTAATGAATAAGTTTAATCATGAATTATCAACAACAAAAAAATTAAAGAATGAGCATAAGGTTATTTTTCCATACTATTTCACAGACACATGGTTCGTTTTGCTCTTTCATCCTCTGTTTACGTTGTCAATTCGACTAGACTTCTCGACACGAACGTGTTGTATTGATTTGGTGTCCTGTCTGACGTCAGCTGATGTAACGTGACGTGATCTGACATGACCTGACGTGACATCACACCAGCTTTATGTGACACCCCCGCCTGCCTACAGCCGGGTCTGGACGAGATCGTTCAGAAATGCCGCGGTGTCAACCTGTTCTTCACCACCGACGTCGTGGCCACCATCCAGGAGTCTGAGGTGCTCTTCATCTCGGTCAACACGCCCACCAAGACCTACGGACACGGAAAGGTGGGTACGCGACCGGCACTGCGCGCCCGACGCCGTCCGTCGCCTTATGCATTTGTGTGTGGGAAGGGGGCTTGGTTCTCTTATACCCTTGAGGGATATGTGAGTATGCTAGCTCCGTAGCTGGGATGACGCAAAATATATTTTTTAAGGCTGCCTGCACCTTAGCCTGAAGCAACAGCAGTGTACAATAAGCTGAAGTGGCGCTGTGTCTGTATCCATGAACAACTGACTATTATTACTGATTCCGATTCATGCCTGGTTTATTGATGTATTTGACGGGAAGCGGTGTTCACTGTACTTAGGGCATCGGTCGTTATCATGATGGTGGCCGTTCGGCGTGATCTGTGGCTCTCCGTAATTTCTAGTCATCTTTGTCGTCAGCGATAGAGCCTGCTATCATAAAGTCTGGTCCGTTTTCAAAGTAGCCAGGGACCATTACCTGAGTGGTAAAGCCTTGCGTTATTGAACTCGTTATTGTAGGGAAGGCGGGTCATCGCTCAAAGCAAAGGCCATTAGTTGCAGCTCAGCTCTTTTGTTAGCTGAATTGTGCCTTATTTAGTGTGGCTTTGCCTTTTTATAGTAATGAAATTTAAAATCACTATGCGGATACTGTACGTTATTGCGGGAAGTCTGAGCCGTCTTTATATTTCATAGGTAGCCAGCCGCCTTATGGTCGGGGGACAATTGCGGAATTAATCAGTTGTAAAAGGTTCAAGATCTAAATACTGATACCTCTGTTGGATATCGGGGACATAAATATCGAGGGCATGCCGCATAGTTATTACAAAAGTTAATCTTTCGTTTTACTGTAATGTAGCTATAATCAGCATTCAGCGCACTACTTTCTGTAGCTAATATTAAATCCCATAATGGAAAAAATTGTGTGCGTAAAAATGACTATATGTGCAGTTCACCAGGATAAATTCTTATGATTTGCTAGCAATAACATTTTCCAGCAAATCTCGGCCGAGGCATTGTGTATAAGGAGGTAGGTATGGCAGCGCCCAGAGTGTGATCGATAAGCTGAACTTCGCTACACTGCGCATTTTATTAACCAACCACTCTGCGCATCTTAAAAACCAACACTCTAACCAACCACTTGAAAAATGTGTGCCGGACACTTTACATCAAGGCAGTGGATCGTATGCCGCAAATTGATCGTATGCCGCAAATTGATGCAAGCATACCACCGCGCCAACAACCGGTCACATTGCTCCGCGCCATGCTATTGTTCTGATACGGCTGCAGCCGTTTAGACACCAGGTGAATCCTGCATAATATTTGGCTGCGATCGGGCGCGTCCCTCGACCCCTCCCGACCGAGGCTGGTCAAGGTGCCTTTGTGGCATCACGGGCCGCGGACTCGCCACCTGCGGTCCCACGCCGGACTGCCCCCGGGGGCCGCAGATGCTGATTGCTGACCAACCGCGTGGAACGGTTACCAGTTGCTTGTACACGTGTGGTCGTGTGTGCAGCTAGGGTAAGAAAGTTTGAGAGCTAGAGGGAGCGTGTTGCACCTAGCTAAGCGGACTGCAGAAAAGGTCCGTGCTGGGTTGATTTGGGCAGATTCGAGATTTGGCTGAAGTTACATGCTCAGCCTTTTTTTTGAAAACAAATATCATCCTCGTTTCTTATTACTCTCATTGAACTGAGTGATCGGAATTCGCACTTTGCGAGGTACGATATTTTTTTTTTTTTTTGAACCGCAGTGGTACGCTGAAGGACTGATTGCCTTGGAGTTCAAAGTATAGTTATCGCTCAAATAAATGTTGAGTTGTGGTGACATCCGTTTTTTCTCAGCTAACTCACATCATATACTGTTTGCTTTCTGTTTACACCCATTACCTCGACCAGCAAAGCGTTACAGTTTCAATGCGACCGTCTCGAGTGGTTCTGGAAAAGCTTCTGAATGCCTGAGACACATACAAACACGTCTTGTTTGCTTCAGGCAGGGCTGTCAAGCACAGGATGCGACAGTCGCGAATATCCAATAAAAGTTGCAGAGCTGGGGAAATCAAGGGAGGCTCAGTTTCAGAACAGCCTGTACAGTAGGCAGTGATCACCTTGACCCATTTCTCCTTCAGAAAGGGGAATCATGTGGCGCACCAGGCCGCTGCTCACTGACGTTGCCTGTGTTCAGACCGGCTCCATTCTCAGTCGGCTATTGTTCACATAAAGTACCAAGTGTTGATGACGTGTTGGCGGCGCCAGGCCGCCCCGTCATGCATATGAACGACGCCTGCCATATGCAGTCGCAGAGCAGTATAGCAGCTCTGAATCTCAGTGGGCACTCGCCAACGGTCGCGGCCATGGTCCTCTGTTTGAAATTTAGATGCAAACCTGGAGCGAGAGTGCCCGATCGTAGAATATATTCATTGGTATTAGCGTGCACGTTGACCTGTTCGAGTACAGGGTGTTTCATAAAAAATGTCCTGATTTGTTTTGCTTATAACGAAAAATCTAATAGTCACATATCCATTCACAATGGTTCAAACGATTCCACAAGGAATGGAGATTTATTACATACATATCACGAACATGAATCATGCGTTCAGCGCCGCTCACAGCACGTTCTCGAGATGTCCTCCTTTTCGGAGCAGACATACGTCGGCCCGTTTCGCCACGTGCCCGATAACTCGGGCGCATGTGGCGGGCGTGATCACACGCACCTGGCGTCTGATCGCCCGCTTGAGCTCTCCGAGACTCCCCGGGCTCCCGCTGTACACTCTGGACTTAAGAAAACCCCACAGGTTAAAGTCGAGGGGTGTCAGGTCAGGGGAGTGAGGGGGCCAGGGAGTGTCCGTTCCGCGGCTGATGATCCTCTCTCCGAGACGCTCCTGGAGCCACTGGAGGGCCATCTTCGAGGTGTGCGGGGTGGCCCCGTCCTGTTGGAACCAGATATCGTCACCACCTGAAGTCGAGCCTTCTTGCACTGTGGCCCAGAAGCGTTCCAGGATGCGGACATAGCGTTCCTTGTTCACCGTTTGAGTGCACCCGTTGCCGTCTTCGAAGAAGAATGGCCCGATTATTCCGGTGGAGCTCATTGCGCACCACACAGTCACTCTCGGGCTGTGCAGTGGGACTTCCAGCAACGTTTCGGGTGGTGCCGAGGCCCATATACGGAAGTTCTGGGTGTTCACCTGTCCAGTAAGGTGGAAGTGGGCCTCATCGCTAAACCAGACCCCATCCAAGAAGCCAGGATTAGCGGCAGTCTGGTCCTTGAGCCACTTTACGAAGGCCACTCTCTGATGTTTGTCGTTCTCCGACAGCTTGTGATGCACTGTCACTTTATATGGGAACAGTTCGAGGTCCTTTCTCATTATTCTCCGCACCGTTGAGTGGCTTGTGCCAACTTCTTGGGCGATTTTCCTGATGGACTTCTTGGGGTCCCCATTGACTACGGACTTCACCTTGGCGATGTTTTCGGGGGTCCTTTGTGTCGTTGGCCGTCCACTTTTCCCTTTGTAGCAATTGAGGATAGACCCATCTCTTAGAAACTTTTCTTGCAAACGCAGGATTGTTTTCGGGCACGGTGTGAATCGGGTTTTGAAGTGAGCCCTAAACTGTCGCTGTGTTAGAATGATAGAACGTGACGACCAGTAAAACTGAACCAGTTTTGTTTTTTCTTCCTTGCTCAGATGCTTCATGGTGAGAAGTGAGCTAAGGTGCGTGAGGAAAATTTCCCGTGCACGTGCTTTCGATTGCATTGAAAAAAAACACTTGATTGCAATTAATAGGGCACCCCAAAATGCAATCAAAACCAGGACATTTTTTATGAAACACCCTGTACGAATTGGTTCTAGATGACTTTTAGCATATATTCTCGCTTCTCAGTCGTTTCGATATGTGGGACACATTATCCACCACGATTATAGCTCACGACCGAGCAGAACCATGCTCAACTCGAAAAAAAAAAACATTTCCGTCGTTTGTAAGTCAAACATCACTAAAAGGTAACCGATACACTCGTGACAAATTGTAATGAACCTTTAACCTAATGCGATGAATAATATCCAATGATCCGTGATAGACAACTCGTGATCTGTAATCCATGACATGCGACCCTGTGACCCTCGCCTGATCAGCCTTGATCGATGACCCGTTGACCTGTGACCTTTTTGCCGCCAGGGTCGGGCAGCTAACCTCAAATACGTCGAGTCTGTGGCTCGGGAGATCGCCAAGGTTGCCCGCGGCAACAAGATCGTCGTGGAGAAGAGCACCGTGCCCGTCAAGTCGGCTCAGAGCATCGCCGACATTCTGAAGGCCAACCGGAACAGTCAGAACAAGTTCCAGGTCAGTGACCACCTATGATCTGGGGTGGAATTTGTCATAGTAGGAGCAATAAAGTCTCAGAATGTTATTAAAAGCCTTATGCGTTATTTTTTTTTTTTAGATTTCTTGGCCCTATGGGACAGTCATGAACGATACGATGCTAACATTGCTACCTATGAAGCGCGATCATATTATTTGTTACCCTGTTCAGTGCGGGAAATTTATTGGATATTGACCACGCTCCTCTAGTCCCAATAAATGGTTATTAAGGACACGGATGTCTCCGCTGGACAAAAAAAAAAAACGCAGTAATTTATTGGAACAGGCCAGCTTTCAAATTGCTCATGTGGGTCCCAACTCTGGACGCATAATGATCTTTCTGTCAATGCGCCCTTAGCCCCAGCAATCGGTTTTAATTATTTAATCATTTATCTAAATCTTAGCTTTGGTATAATGTTACCTTTTGCTTTTATCTGTTACCCAGAGTTGTGCACTCTCGCGCTTCTGTTGTGTGCCTCTCTCACGTGCTGGCCCGTCCGTCAGGTGCTGTCCAACCCGGAGTTCCTAGCCGAGGGTACCGCCATTGAGGACCTGCTGAACCCGGATCGGATCCTGATCGGCGGCGAAGACTCCCCCGACGGCTGGAAGGCCATCGAGACGCTGTCATCTGTGTATAAACGCTGGATTCCGGCCGACCGCATCATTACTATGAACACCTGGTCATCGGAACTCTCCAAACTGGTCAGTAGAACAGACAAAACTGAAAGCATGAGCAATACAGTCGGTAGACCAGAGGCAGACACTACAGTAATATAGTCAGTAAAACAGACATTACACCCGACCGCATTATCATCATGAACACCTGGTTATCGGAGCTCTCCAAACTGGTCAGTAGAGCTCTACATACTGGTCAGAGCTTTAATAGCTCGTGAGTGGAGTTATCCAAGCTTTCAAGTCTCTCTCCCCTCTCTTTCTCTCTCCCTCTTGAAGTTTGGGTTCACGAGTGACTTATATTTATCGCAGAGGTCTTAAAAGCACAGTATATGCCAATGCTCATATGAAGTATGCATTATATTATACCAGATAGAGACAGACAACTGACAAAATAACGACAAATAACAGCACTATGCCGCGGCACTTCTGATATCCAAGCTACCTACATCGCCATTTTCCACCAGTGTGCCGGTCAATACTCGCCCATTATCAGCGGCTCGACCTGAATGTCCCACCGACCACCGTGTCGCGACCGTTTTGGATGAGCAGTGTCGTCGTTTTAACACCTTGTCGCACATGCGAGCTGAGTACCTCTATCGTGCGAGCCTCCTCTCTCGTGGTGGACCGGGTTCGGGGAGCCGGGAATGTAGGGGAGCTCTTCCTCTGTCATATAGTATCCCGCTCGGCATCGATGCGTCGCTGAGGTAGCTCTTCGCTAGAGCAGTCCGGTTGGTGTGCATAGCAGTCGTAACTCGCCGGGCCGCCGGGGACGGCTGATGTACGAGGCTCTATCGAACCCATGCGAGGCTCGGTCGGACGGGGACCGGGTTACGTATGGGGTTGTAACGCGGGTGGGCGCCGCCCGGCCGGCCAGCTCCGATAAAACGACATCAGTGCCCATCCCCTTAGGCATAAACTAAGACGTGCGACTGGAAAGAATTGATTTCTGTTTCAGGAATCCAGGTATATCCGCGAATATCGGCGTAGAGTGGGAGGTATGAGAAAATGATTGTTCATGACATTCCGAAATTCGCAATATCTTCTGTTGCGTTTTTTTGTTATTGCTATATAAGTTTGTAATTGTTATTGCGAATATGTTCTGTTATTGCTGCGCGTTTCTGAGAAGGCAGCGGTTCATTTAGGTGTCTCCGGGAGCGCTGCCTCGCCTGACCGGGAGCGATGGTCTCTCATGCAGGCTGGGAGATCAATACACTGTTCGCGGTTTGGAACTGGGTGGAGACCAGTCGGACTGACACGGGCAATATAAAAATCACGATGAAAGGCCGTGGGACGATTGGTCTGACATCCGGTAATGCCGCAGTCGCCACGATAGGGGGTTGGTCGGGTTCTTGATAACACTGTTATAGCAGTAGGATGGTGTTTTCTAACTAAACCTATCACATAAATTTTAACTGAAATAGCGGTGGTGTGATAGCATGTTATAAAGACAGAAATTAATCGCTTCTCAAGTAATCGTTGACTCCAGTCAAATTTAGACAAACTTGTTAATGTTAATTGGTTGGTTCGAAGGCACAGTTTTTTTCGATGACTTGCTCCTGATATCGGTACGTAAATATCTCCTTTTTAGTCACAACCAGGTACATTGTAAGTAGAATATTTTAAAGTAGAAGCAGATAGTTTTAAAGCTTTTAACCTCACCAAAATCTTTCGAAACCGACTCACCGACAGGGATTGGTGCATTACTTTTTACCAGTGGCGTACTCCTTGGAATATCTAATAGAAATGATAGCACTTTGCTAGTTGGACTTCCGAATATACCTACTCAACTCTAAGTTCGATCTTATGTAAGTTCTTCTGAAGGTGTTGAAATCGACAGAAGAGAATCATCAGAATCTATTCATCATCGTCAGATTGTTTTCTGCGAAGAAGGGTTATGGTCTGCTGCCGTTAGGTATACCAGTGCAGTCAGGAATCCTCATCGACAGGCAGACACGTATGTTAAACATATGTTAGAAGTTGCTTTACACGACTCCAGGTTATAAGCCTACCAACAAACTTTGTTGCAAACAAGGCGCCAAACCTTCGGGATTCTCCAAGAGTTTGGTACTTATACCGCCCGCCAACAAGCGAATCGACGAAAAGAACAAATCTAATGGTTAGACTCATCTGAAGAATCAGGGGGGGGGGGGGGGCAGCGCGCCGTTCGGGGAGGCGCGCTTCAGTGACGCTCCCTCGGCACTGCGCACTTCTTCGCTCGGGGGCTGTGCTCCTTCTGTTACACAATGACGAGCTATTTGTATGACAGCCCGGTGTGGGTTACACTCGCCTTACAGGTAATTCGTAATGAGCCCGGAACTGGACTTTGGGAACTCTTCGAGTGCCGCCGCTTTTTTGAACGGCTCGCTAGTTATGCAATGGTACTCGGATGCATGCAGATGCATTCACAAATAACCTAGCTAAATAACATACTAATTGGACGGAGTGCGCACAATGGTATATGGAGCGGAGTCACGCTGTCCGTTTTCTTTGTAAGTAACAAGATTGCTTTTGTCGGGGTCGTGCTTGGTTGAAAGTCAAGAATGTAGAGTGGAGTGTTCTTTTCAGGTCTTTACTCGCCAGGATGTAGCAAGCTGCACTCATCAGCCTCCCGGATAGCGTGCTGTTATGTTTAACGTGACGTGTTCATCGCAGTGCGAACCGGTACACAGGCCTGCGCACGCTTATTGCACAGGGGATACCATAAATGGTATTTTTGTTTTTTTTTAACATGTCATGTAGCATGTTGTTTATATGCTCAAAACAGTTTTCAATTCGTTGGAACTTGAAATTCACACTCATATTTTTAGATCAAAGAGGAACTGTTGTAATAACCAATGGCGTGTTTTATTCCCGACGCCAAGAGTTTCCTGTCGTTGAAATATCAGCTGTGTGGGTATTTTTCGAGACGAATAATAGGGCTGAGTCAGAGAGTCAGTTTGTAATGTTTCCGTTATTTTAAAGAGTTAAGCGTTGTGAGGAAAATCATCATTATGATTATATTATAAGCATATTTAGTGACCGAATCCTCAATAAAATCTGAATAATTGACAAAATAACAAAATTCGGGTATATGTATTTGATTGATCACAGATCTTCGTCAACCCTTAACGAAGATCTGTGATCGAATATACCCGAATTTTGTTATTTTGTCAATTATTCAGATTTTTTTGAGGATTCAGTCACTAAATATGCTTATGTTTCCGTTATGAGTTATGACAGCAATCAACAATATGCCATTATTACATACAATATATTGCTCAAGATTACTGAGCCATTAGCGTGTACTCGTATTAACAACATCAGTGCTGGACGATCCCTAAATATTACCTCCAACCCACGCGTGTTTTTTTTTTTTATACCATCACGCTCCAGCCTCGTGACCATGTACCAATTTCCCGTGAATCTCCACAGGTGGCTAACGCGTTTCTGGCGCAGCGCATCTCGGCCATTAACGCCGTCTCGGCGGTGTGCGAGGCGACGGGCGCTGACGTCGGTCAGGTCGCGCTGGCTGTCGGAAAGGACAGCCGCATCGGACCCCGCTTTCTGCAGGCCTCAGTTGGTGGGTAGCCAGTACTCAGTAGTGGTTAGTAGCTGTGAGGGTGTTGACGTCAATTGGAGGCTAAACTGTGTATTGGTATCAGAAATGTACCGAATATGTGCGCCTGTGAAAGGTTTGTCGCCAGGGGTTATCGAGGCGTGATCAGTAAAGCCGACAAAAGCTGCACCTCATCGGATGGCACCCGTTCGGCTTTACCCCGCCGTTATGCATGGCTAGCTCCGGTTATAGAGCCAGACCAATGCATTCACATCAGCTTACTTGGCGGGAAAATCCGATTACATTTTACATATGCAACAACGATCGATGTGGGGTCTATGACCTGACCAGGGATCATAAACTGAAAAATGCAATCTACTTTTTATCGAGTCACGCCAAAGAAATATCGCAGCGTGTTTATGAAGATTATTCCCACAAATATCACATATCCTCTTTCTTTCAATCTTACTTTCCAGATCTCACCCGATCCGTCCTCATCTTCTATCGACCAAGCTCTCTCTCTCTCTCTCTCTCTCTCTCTCTCTCTCTCTCTCTCTCTCTCTCTCTCTCTCTCTCTCTCTCTCTCTCTCTCTCTCTCTCTCTCTCTCTCTCTCTCTCTCTCTCTCTCTCTCCCTTCCTCTTTTACCCCTCCCCTTCTCTCTCCCTCTTTCTCTTCCCTCTTTTCCCATCCCGGGACTTTTCCCGATCTCTTTTTCTCACCTCCTCCTCCCTCCCTCACACCGCCATGCGCGGTCCGGGCCGGTGCCGGGGTGCTGTGCACCGTCCGGCGCTGACCCCAATGCCCCTCTTAGTTTGGCTGACCTCAGCACGTATCGCTGACCGTGCCCGCCTCAGCTGGTCAGTCAGCGCCCTGCTGAGCTGACTCAGCACCGTCCTGCTGAGCTGACGAAGCTCGGGCAGGGTTTGGCGCGGGCTTCGTAGAGTGGGTTGGAACTGGACAAAATAGCCAGGGTAGTATGCTGATTTAGTGGAGTTGGGTCAATATGATGATACATATAGTGGAGTTGAGTGTACAGAGCTTGCAAGGACTTTGTGAGAAGAAAGAGTGAAAGTCGGTATACAAAAGCGTAAGCTGTGTGATGGTTAACTATGATTAATATGTTTTGCCGGATTTTACATCGGGCTTGTAAAAGGCGATCTTTTTTTTCTCATCAACTTGTACGCGGCGCTGATCACGCGACGGATTCTGAAGGCTCTCTCATCTTCAACGACTGTGTACATACGCGAACGGAAGTGATTGATCTCTCTCCACGAATGTCGAGGGAAGAGGGAGTCTGGCTTCCCGGAAATGTTTCCTATGAATGTTAGTCTGTCTTCGCCTGCCGTTTGAACCTCACTTCTTGTCCGGGTCTGGGGTCTGAACTGGGCAGGTCAAATGCTTCAGAGGCTGGCCAATTTCCCTAGTCAGTGGCAGGACGTTTCTTAGAGGGCAGCGTTTATAATTATCGAGTGAGCGTTTGTTATCGAGTGCGCTCGAGTGGGAAAGTTATAGCGACTGACGCCAAGTTCTATGCTTAGTGCTGATTGTGGGGGCTGCTGCTGACATATGCAGACTTTCCCTGTGCTTGCAGTTGTCTTTGATCTTGTCTCTGCTTGGACTGTGCCGGGTGGAAATGCGACGGGGCGTTGACCTTTCGCAAATATATAAATGCTGCCGGTGTATAGCTCGTTTTTAACTTCGACCCTCACTGTAAACATCTTTTTTATCAAAGCACGAGATTTGCTAGCTGAATTACTTAGAAAACTGTTAAGCGCACATTGTACTGGAGATATGAATAATATTTTCCAAATAAGTTGTTGATATACCATTCTGTTAAACGCCGTGCGATTTATTGATTAGTTCAATTATAATTTCTGACAAGTCGTCTTTCCCTGTGGGGCTGTATATATAGGTAAATACGAGCTAGGAGTCTGGGAAGTAAGAGCCAGGAAGAAATGATTTTGAATAAAATTAACCGTCTGTGATATCAATGTGCGCCAGTCAGTTTTCTGAGTAATTCAATTCTCGTGCTGTGTCCAAAGCGTTCAAAGAGACGATTGGAGTGAGGGTCGAACTTAAAAAAACGAACTATAGGTGAAATATTTTCGCATACGGTGCTAAGTGCTAAAATAATCGCTAATGGTAGATAATTGTTGTTTAATGAACGATGGAACTTATTAAGCTACTAAGCGTGTTTTTGTTTCGTTTGTTCACAGGCTTCGGCGGTAGCTGTTTCCAGAAGGATATATTGAATCTGGTCTACATATGTGAGAGCCTCAACCTGCCGGAAGTGGCGGAATTCTGGCTGAACGTAAGCACCTTCCAGGACACTGATACAATGTCGACGAATAATGACTGCATATACCCGGGCAGCGCTTGTCGAACAGCACTGCGGATCCGAAGGTTGGGACTTTAATTGTGAAAAACCGCCCGCCCGCCGCAAAACCGCAAAACGCGCAAAACGCACGACCAAAACGTCAACGCAAACTCCGCAAAAAAAAAACAATCGCCCGCCCGCCGAAAACCGCAGAAAAAAACGCAAAACAACGCCGCCAAAAACCGCCCGTCCGCCGCAAAACGCAAACACCGCAACAACGCAAACACCGCCGCCGCAAAAACAAACCGCATCGCCCGCCGCCAACGGCGAAACGCCGCAAAAAACGGCCGCCCGCCGCAAACCACAAGATCGCCGCAAAAAACGGCCGCCCACCGCAAACTGCAAAACGCCACAAAAAACGGCCGCCCGCCGCAAATCGCAAAACGCCGCAAAAAACGGCCACCCGCCGCAAATCGCAAAACGCCGCAAAAAACGGCCGCCCGCCGCCAACCGCCGCTAAAACGGCCGCCCGCCGCCAAATGCAAACACCGCAAAAACACCCGCATAGCCCGCCCGCCCGCCGCCAAACACAAAAACCGCAAAAAACGCAAACACCGCCGCAAAAAAACGCCCGCAACGCACGCACGCCCGCCGCCAACCGCAAAACGCCGCAAAAAAACGGCCGCCCGCCGGCAAACGCAAACACCACAAAAAACGCAAAATCGGCCGCCCGCCGCCAAACGCAAACACCGAAAAAACGCAAACACCGCCGCAAAACGCACGCCGTCCGTTAAACGTAAACACTGACGCATTAAGACAAATATGGCGCCTTGCGGCAAGTGTGGTGCATTCATATCTGCCGTTTAGCAATCCCTCAACCAAAGAGCATCCTAATCGTCCCATGTTCGATAAAGCTGCGCACATTCTGTGATTTGCGGCAAAAATGACGCTTTGAGACAAACGTGGCGCACTGCAACAAACATTGCGCATTCGTTCGTGTCGCTTAACAATTCATCCACCCACCAAATTCTAGCCCAATCGGACTTAAACTGAAAAAGTTACGTACATTTGAATATTTCACTATAAAATATCTCCGCAACGGAGGTGCCCAGATTTGCACGTGTGCCACGTGACCACCGGTGGTGCAAGCAGGACTTGTCCCCTCACTGATTGCACCATTTCAGTGTTCCTGGCTTGTGCTGTTTTCGTGCTATAAGGCCACAAATCGGCAAACACACGATAATCTGGGAGGTACGCGACTCAAACACGTGGCTACGTGGCACGTGCCGGACCTTTGATAGCTTCACCGTTCACGCCACGTGATGACCCATCGACGTGGCCATCAGCATGTAAAAGATGACCCCGGCCGGTGTCAACGTCCCTGAACAGTGGACGGCTAAACTCGAAAAACGGGAAAATTTAGGGAAATTTCACCTTTCGAATATATAATTTCCCCAGAATTTTGAATTTTTCATTTTACAAAAAATCCGAGATAGCAGTTTTTTAGCCCCCTTCATTCTGTGCCTATACCCGTTTTCAGCTCGACCCTATCATAAAAACTGACGGCCTGACGGCTATTTCCCCCATTCCTTGCATTTCACAATGCTAGTATATTTAAGCACCAAAATTGACCCCGTGCCACGGCACGTGCAATAGCACGTGCGCCACGTGACCACTAGTGCGACAAGCTGGACTCATCTGCTCACCGGCTGCGTTGATTTGGTGTCGCTAGGTGGAGTGGTTTCCACGCCATAGGACCCCCAGTTGGCCAATGTCGGATTTTCCCGGAGGTTACCCCATCAAACACGTTTGCACGTGGCACGTGCTTTTCAATCGCCCCATATCTGACCCATACCATGTGGTAGCCGACACCCCGGGGCACAACATATTGGAACATTTTCAAAATCTAACGTGGAAATTTTTTGCAAAATCGATTTGAAAATAATTTTTCAAATTCGCCATAGGCTCAACATGGGGTAACTGTTCGTGACGATTACCCGAAATTTTGTCAATTATATTTTAAATAATTACCACCGTCAGTTGGGGTGCCTGCCCGAGATCCGATCCTAAAAATATCAGCAAATATAATTGACGAAATTTTTCGCAAATCGAATTTCCAATTTTCCCCCATGTTAACCCTATGGGAAAATGCACGTGCGGATTACCCCAAAACGGGTTAATTATATCCGAAGGTTGGGACTTTTCAATTAAGAACAATCACTATTCTTTAGAATTGTGATTTTCTATTGAAAATCCCAACCTGAGCTACCTCTCTAGGGGGGTGATTAGCGTTTCTGCCGCGATTTAGGACATTTTGATAGGGAAGAAAACGGCACGGTAGAATTTCTTGCCATTTTCAGCGTTTGGTCCCGTATCGGGGAGCTACCGGCTGGCATCGGTCGCTTGAAATATAATTAACCCGTTTTGGGGTAATCGGCACGTGCATTTTCCCATAGGGTTAACATGGGGAAAAATTGGAAATTCGATTTGCGAAAAATTTCGTCAATTATATTTGCTGATATTTTTAGGGTCGGATCTAGGGCTGGCACCTCAACTTTTGGGGTTAATTATTTAAAAATCATAGGATACAATTTCGGGTAATCGTGACGGACAGTTACCCCATGCTGAGCCTATGGCGATTTCGAAAAATTATTTTCAAATCGATTTTGCCAAAAATTTCCACGTTAGATTTTGAAAATGTTCCAATATGTTGTGCCCCGGGGTGTCGGCTACCACATGGTATGGGTCAGATATGGGGCGATTGAAAAGCACGTGCCACGTGCAAACGTGTTTGATGGGGTAACCTCCGGGAAAATCCGACATTGGCCAACTTGGGGTCCTATGGCGTGGAAACCACTCCACTTAGCGACACCAAATCGACGCAGCCGGTGAGCAGATGAGTCCAGCTTGTCGCACTAGTGGTCACGTGGCGCACGTGCTATTGCACGTGCCGTGGCACGGGGTCAATTTTGGTGCTTAAATATACTAGCATTGTGAAATGCAAGGAATGGGGGAAATAGCCGCCAGGCCGTCAGATTTTATGATAGGGTCGATCTGAAAACGGGTGTAGGCACAGAATGAAGGGGGCTAAAAAACTGCTATCTCGGATTTTTTTGTAAAATGAAAAATTCAAAATTCTGGGGAAATTATATATTCGAAAGGTGAAATTTCCCTAAATTTTCCCGTTTTCCGACTTTAGCCGTCCACTGTTCAGGGACGGTGACACCGGCCGGGGTCATCTTTTATATGGTGATAGCCACGTCAATGGGTCATCACGTGGCGTGAACGGTGAAGCTATCAAAGGTCTGGCACGTGCCACGTGGCCACGTGTTTGAGTCACGTACATCGCAGATTATCGTGTGTTTGCCGACTTGTGGCCTTATAGCACGAAAACAGCACAAGCCAGGAACACTGAAATGGTGCAATCAGTGAGGGGACAAGTCCTGCTTGCACCACCAGTGGTCACGTGGCACACGTGCAAATCTGGGCACCTCCGTTGCGGAGATATTTTATAGTGAAATGTTCAAATGTACATAACTTTGTAAAATTAAGTCCGATTGGGCTAGAATTTGGTGGGTGGATGAATTGTTAAGCGACATGAACGAATGCGCCATGTTTGTTGCAGTGCGCCACGTTTGTCTCAAAGCGCCATTTTTGCCGCAAAGCGCAGAATGTGCGTAACTTTGACGAACATTGGACGATTAGGATGCGCTGTAATTAAGGGATGGCTGCTTAAACGGCAGATATGAATGCACCACATTTGCCGCAGGGCGCCATATTTGTCTTAATGCGTCAGTGTTTGCGTTTTGCCTACAGCGGGCGTTTTTGCGGCGGTGTTTGCGTTTTTCGGGGTTTGCGTTTGACGGCGGGCGGCCGTTTTTGCGTTTTTGGCGGTGGTTGCGTTTAGCGGCGGGCGGCCGTTTTTTGCGGCGTTTTGCGGTTGGCGGCGGGCGTGCGTGCGTTGCGGGCGTTTTTTGCGGCAGTGTTTGCGTTTTTTGCGGTTTTTGTGTTTGGCGGCGGGCGGGCGGGCGATGCGGGTGTTTTTGCTGTTTGCGTTTGGCGGCGGGCGGCCGTTTTAGCGGCGGTTTGCGGCGAGCGACCGTTTTTTGCGGCGTTTTGCGGTTTGCGGCAGGCGGCCGTTTTTTGCGGCGTTTTGTGGTTTGCGGTGGGCGGCCGTTTTTTACGGCGTTTTGCGGTTGCCGGCGGCCGGCCGTTATTTGCGGTTAGCGGCGGGCGGCGGGCGGTCGTTTTTTGCGGTGTTTAGCGGTTTGCGGCGGGCGGCCGTTTTTGCGGCGTTTTGCGGTTCGCGGCGTGCGGCCGTTTTTTTGCGGCGTTTTGCGGTTGGCGGCGGGCGATGCGGGCGTTTTTTTCGCGGCGGCGGTGTTTGCGTTTTTTTGCGGTGTTTGTGTTTTGCGGCGGACGCGCGTTTTTTGCGGCATTTTGTGCGTTTTTTTCTGCGATTTTCGGCGGGCGGGCGATTGTTTTTTTTTGCGAAGTTTGCGTTGGCGTTTTAGGCGTGCGTTTTGCGCGTTTTGCGGTGTTTGCGTTTGGCGGCGGGCGGGCGGTTTTTCACAATTAAAGTCCCAACCTTCGGATCCGCAGTGCTGTTCGACAAGCGCTGCCCGGGCCTATCCGAAGGTTGGGACTTTTCAATTAGACAATCACTATTCTTTAGAATTGTGATTTTCTATTGAAAATCCCAACCTGAGCTACCTCTCTAGGGGGGTGTTTAGCGTTTCTGCCGCGAATTTAGGACATTTTGACTCCCGCAAAAACGGCACGGTAGAATTTCTTGCCATTTTCAGCGTTTGGTCCCGTATCGGGGAGCTACCGGCTGGCATCGGTCGCTTGAAATATAATTAACCCGTTTTGGGGTAATCGGCACGTGCATTTTCCCATAGGGTTAACATGGGGGAAAATTGGAAATTCGATTTGCGAAAAATTTCGTCAATTATATTTGTTGATATTTTTAGGGTCGGATCTCGGGCAGGCACCCCAACTGACGGTGGTAATTATTTAAAAT